CCGCCCTCCGGCCCGCGGCGGGCAGGCGCGGAGGAGCGCACCGAGGAGCTCACGGTGTCAAAACGGAGCTGCCTTTCCCACCTTCTTTCCCCAGCTCCTTCTCGCTCCGTTACTGCATTACTCAAACCTTGCTTCTCCCTTTCTCCTTCGTCTCCTTGTTTGTCCTCTTCTCCAAGCAGTTGGCTAAAGAAAAGCATATCCAGGCAAATCCACAAGCAAGGCCTTGGTCTGCCTCTTTCCCAAGCTTGGCAAGGTGTGTGTATAGCGACCAAAACACTATCCCCTTTTGCTGCAACTACAGCTTAAAAAAAAATTTTTTACTATGAGAGTGGTAGAACACTGGAACAGGTTGCCCAGAGAGGTGGTGGATGCTCCATCCCTGGAGACATTCAAGGCCAGGTTGGACAAGGCCCTGAGCAACCTGATCTAGTTGGAGATATCCCTGTTCCTTGCAGGGGGGTTGGACTAGATGACCTTTGAAGGTCCCTTCCAGCCCTAACCATTCTATGATTCTATGATTAACCCTGGCCCCAGTTCCCATCACCCTGTGCTACACAGCTGCTCTTACTTCCCCCATACCCCCAAGAAAAACCCCTCCCAGGGGCAAGCTGGAGATGCATGGTGCCAGCAGACAACTTCTGTACATCTGTCTTTCCCTCGTGCCCACGGCAAAGCAGTAAGAGGAAGGAGATGACATTGCTTTAGCTGCATGCTCTGCTGGTTCCTTGTAGCAAGGAGGGGATAGGACAGGCAGAGGTAGCTCTGTCCATCCTTCTTGGGAACGCATAAGAAGTTAAGCAGCAGCATCTTTGAAATGAAAGAAAGAGCTGACAGTGTTTTGCTGTCCGAACAACTTTCAGGTCTGGCACTAATAAAGGAACAGTCCAATGCAAAACAGGGAGTTACCTTGAAGGTTTTCATACTTTGTCTCCAGCACTGGTGGCACTAGCCTACCTGCTGGCAACAATAAAGCTGCAGGATGGACCTTCCTTAGGAAATGGTGATCAAAGGCATGAAGCTGTAGGACGGTTGCTTATACATGAACCCTTTCCTAAGTTACAACATCTTCTACTACTCCTCTTCACCCTCTGCAGTTGCTAACTGCCTTGGAACTTCCTTTTGTGATCCATCTCACTGAACTGCACTACAGTCTCTAGTGTCCCTGTTACGAGAAATATTTGCTAATGAATTTGTAACTTAAGAACCTCAGCTGAAATAAAAAACTACCTCTGACAGTGGAGTATTTTGTTCACAAGCATTTACAGGGGGAAAAGGATAAAATAATCAAAAACTTCCTACCCAGGTAAGTTAAATGCACACTTACATACATGTAATAACAATTTCCTTTGATATATCTGTGTGTTTTAGAAGACAACCTACAAAGATATATTCACAAAGAATGGCTGGGTGAGAAAAGAATTCTGCAGAAACTGTTATAAAGCAAACTCCCTTCTCTAAAGAAGAAATTATTAGTTTGAATGCAGCTTAGTATCTGCTTACTCCATCCTAATGTTTGTACAGTAAGCAGTAACTGATCTAAAATTATTCCAAAAAGCCCAGGCTCCCAAACTTACAACAGGGTATTAAGCACTGACAACCTTTTCACTGCCACTGCATTTTGGAATCTGCTTGTAATAATGCAAGCCTGTAGATGTGCACATACAAAACACCTTATGTTTTATGTAGTATGGGACTTACTTCCTCCTATTTAATATTCTGAAAACTTTGCTATTTTTTAAATATTCACTGTCTTTTGGAGACTTCACAACACATTTTACATCAAATGTTCTTATTATGCCAGTGTTTGTACAGAAAACTAGGAAATCTACAGTATCACCAAGCTATTCCACAGTGCTTTATCTAAGTATCTCTATTACTTGTTTCATCAGATGAAAACCTAGCCAAAGCAAACAAGATTTTAATTTATTTTTCATTATTAAGACAGATTTTTCACAAGTGAAATTTTACTGTATTTCACAAAAAAATAAACCTACAGTAAGTACAGTATTACAAAGCAGGAGAGATGTAAAACACTGCAAAATCTTTGTAATATGTTTAAAAATACCTATGCCGCATCACTCCTTTTTGATTAAGGAGGCTAATTCTCGATTATAAAATTTTTCATAAAATTCCAAGTCTTTTACGTTTAAGGATGGTTTTACAGTCCTCAATGATTTCACAAAATGCTCGTGTTTCACAGCAGTTGCTTCCAGTCCATTCTCTTGCAATGCCAACAAAGCAGCCTTTAAAATGAAAAAAAAGAAACAACTTGAAGTGCTGATGTTCTAAGTTGCAAAGAAGTTATTTTAAGTATTCTAAAATATTCTACATTAAATCAAATTTTAAGTAGAGCATTTGAAGACAGCATGGTATAATTTGTAGTTATTTAACAATAGATAAACATCAGATAACTAACTTTTTCATTCACTTTTTTGTCTGGATTAGACAATAAGTCCTTGACGACTTACATATTTGGATTTTCTTCTTAGTCTTCTCTCTTTTATGTAACTTCTCAAATACTTACAGACTTCTTGATTTTCTTCTCTCTAGCCTTGTCAGTACATGCTAGTTTCAGCTAAAAATGTTGCAGTTGCTTGCAGTACACAGAGTACAACTAATCTGGAGGTGAGCTTGATTTACAAAGGGCCATGTGAAACAAAGGGTAGTGCAGTTCCTTAACTTCTAGTCAATTATCACAGAAAGCCTTATTCTTATTTGGCTTTTTTAAAGAATTAACCCTTGTTCAGTTCTTTTATTTTAATCATTCTCTTTATATTTTCATTACAAACTGTGAAAGAATCTGTACTGTACATGGCTTCGTAACATCTATGAGTTAGCTCTCTTTTTTCATTGAAAGGTTTAATTAACAGTTTATTTCACAGATTAACTATGAATATTTCTTACCTCCTTGCACAGATTTTCAATATCAGCTCCAGAGAAGAGGTCTGTTAGGACTGCCACATCTTGTAATGACACATCAGTATCCAACGGAATTTTTTCTGTGCAGATTTCCAAAATGGAAAGTCTTCCCTGTCAGTTGGTGTGTATTATAAAAGAAAACAAAACCAAACCAACTGATAATTAATCCCTCTGCAAAGCAGTACCAAATTTGAAATTAGAACTAAGGAAAATCTGGAAAAGTACCAAAACTACATTTTTTTCATGGAAGAGTGAATAAAATGCTATTAATGGAGACAATACTTACGGTTATGGTTCTCTCATATTAAAGTCTGTTACTCAGTAGTCATTACTTCATGAAAACACAGTATTTTAGACTGAAGAGTCCATATTTGGCCTGCTTTGGGTCAACTCTTTTTTGGGGGGGAAGCTCAGGACAAGTAGCTACACTACCCATGGGAACAGGGTACAAGAGTGATTTGAAGCAAGGACAGACAGCTTGTTACGGTTATTCCTAAACTGCAGCTTGATATTGTAAATACAGAATTACTCCAGATTTTGTCTATTTTCTATATGCAATAGTATAACTACAAACACCAGTTAAAATGTTACTGGTGTTTAAATGACAAATGTACTTATTTTTTTAAACCTCTTCATTGTACCTTGAGTTTGGTGACTGATCTTCAGTGAATCATCCATCAATTGTTACAGGTATTATAGAAATACGCCCCCTTTGCTCTATAAAGTAAAGCGTGCTGGCAATTAATAGCTCTCCATTTAAAGCCACATATGGATTTGTAATACATCACCTTCAGATCTGGAGGTGGAATATAGATCAGCTTGTCTAGCCTTCCAGGACGCAGTAAGGCATCATCCAACATATCTGGTCTATTTGTTGCAGCAACTACCATGAAATCTTTGTTCAAAGTTTCTTGAAACTCTAGCTGAGTAAGAGATGATATAAACAAATTAGTGCAACATGGTTAAGACAGATATTTTTGGAATAACTGGACAGCATTTGTCATTCTTCCTATATAGGAAAGGGAACACAAATACCTTTCTTTCCTCATCATTTTGGTCTTGACATTGACCCTCAAGCTGTAGTTTGCTTCCTCTTCTTTCTGTGACTTTCAGCCCAATACCGTCCAACTCATTGAGAAGAACAGAAAGAACCCGCTCTGAGACACCACGGCCAGTTTTGCAGCGTGATCGAGATCCCAAGATTGATTCTATCTCGTCTAGGAATATTATTGCTGGAGTATTTGCTCTTGCTTGTCGAAAAACCTTTTTTTTTTTAGATTAATAAAGCAAAGTGTTAATACATAGATTCTATTACATAAGGTGAAAATACCTACTTACACATACTCTGTATTTTACCTGCTTAACTGTAAAGACACATTCATAAAGATTCAGGAGAGCCATTCTGGCTTACGTTTACCATAGGAAAATCTGCTTCTTATTTAAATTCTTAAGTGAACTGAAAACAAAAGGGTAGAAATACTTTCAAAGGTTAAAACTGGTATCATTTTAGGGCTAGATTCTCAGTTTATATACACATGTATCTGTAAGCCATTTCTATTCAATAACCAGATGAGAGCTTTAACTATCAGCTTTTCAATAACAAAATGGAGGCCTAACTAATACTTTATAAAAATCAAGTGAAAATGAACTACGGACCTTACAGAAGTTAAAAACCATACCTGAGACAAAATCTTCTCTGAATCTCCAACATACGGTGAGAAAAGATCAGCACCACTTACAGAGAGAAAGGAACAGTGACAACTTGTGGCCACAGCCTTCACCAGCGTGGTCTTGGCACACCCTGATGGCCCATAGAGAAGAATACCCTTTGGATGAGACAGGCCCATCCTGGCAAACGCCTGAGGAAATTTCATAGGCCACTCAATACTCTGTCAATACATAACAAAAAGGGATGAAATTCTTAGTAATAAAGCTGGAGTTCATAGGCAATCAATAAAATTTCTGAGCATGTTATTTTTTCTCCTTGGTATAAACACAAATTTGAAACCAGAGAATACTAATTTGGTCTTCCTTGATATAATGCCTCCCTTCTTAAAGATTTGTCTCAGTTTCAGATAGAAAAATGGCAATCCTTGAGATGACATGAAAGAGCCACCTCTGGCTACAAATTCACGAACAGATAAACTATCTGGATGCAAATTAAGTGTTTTTCAGCTACCAGAAAACATGCCAGTTTCCCCATATATTACGCTTGGTAGTGGTATCTTGCAACTGGAAGATTTCTACTCACACACATTGTAATAACTTAATGTAGCATTAAAAAAGTTTACAATACCATTTATAATCAGGTAATTTGCAAGAGAATTGATTTCAGAGGACATGGTTACTAGAAACTAGCTGTTTATCTAAATGTATTTTATACATTACCTGTTTTAACTTTAATTTCACATCTTCAAGACCCCCAATTTGCTCCCAAGTGACAGGTCTACACTCTGTCAGTCCAATTGCACTTCGAAAAGAGGATGGTTGAACTTTTTTATAAGCTTCCTGGAAATCTGTAATGTTAATCACCATTTCAGTTGAATCCTGGAGAAACCCAGATAAAGCATGTTAACAATATTATTACATAATAATTTACAATGCTACATCAGTATGCAAAATGTTTCAGAAAAGGCCAAGCGCAACTAGCAAATGCAAATTCTTGCCCTAACAAGCTTGAGCACTGCAGACACAATGATGTAACGAAGTAGAATATAATGTCTTCAACAGCAAGTTTTTATACAGGAAAAAATGATTCTAACAGAAATCTATGTTTTAGAGAATACTGTTGTTTTTCCCTAAATTATATCTCCATTACACAATGATCTGCTAAATCAAGCAGTTGTTAATTTCAGGGTTACTACACACCAACACCTAGATTCTCTTGAATACAAATAAAAATGTTCTAACATCCATTTTCATCATGTAGTGGAGGAAGTAAAGTATGTTATCTCAAATAGGCTAGAAAATACCATCATTCAACTACAGATGCAGTAACAGAACTAAGATGTGTTTTACAAAGGAGCCTGCAGTTCTCAAGGTAAATAGGCCTTCTACTTACTCATTATTTTAATTTGTCCATCTATTTCTTTCTGGGATACCAAGCTCAAATTATTTTCCTTATTATTTTCAATATTTATAAGTTATCTGGAGGAGATACAAGTTGTAGAAATACTATGTTCTCTTCTTTCTACCCCCGAGTGAAGACAGAGGGTTCTACTATTCTCTGGAGATGCTCTAACTTTGGAAATGTTGCAAATCTGACTTTCAATTTCTGCTCCATTCCAGATGAAAAACCACAGCAAACATGTATCTCACAATTCTTGTCAAAGTCAGAATAGATACAAAGAATATTAAGAAATAGCAATTCTCTAATTCCATATCTGTAATATCTAAGAAGTTAATTTCTGCACACTGGGCAGTTTTATACCTTATGTCTATAACAATGTTATATCCAGCCATACAACCCAAATGATAATAGTTATTATCACTAGCAGTTATATATTTATGTTTATATATTTATTAAGACTAAAATCTCTGCTTTGCACAGTCCTAAAAGGCTAAGGATGAGGATAAAAAACATTTGGCAAAGCTTTTCATCCAAAACGGAGAAAACAGTCTTTTCAGGCGAGAACTGAAAGGACTAGTGAAATGGCATATTTATAACACACTTGCTGTTTTTCAGTATTTTGATTTGTGAGTTCTTCAACTTGTTGAGCTTTTCATGTAAAGCCAAGCATTAATAAGTAAAGGGTGGTACATATTATTAATGACTTTCTTCTTGACTAAGCTAGAACCATACCAAGGAGCTGTGGAACACAGCCTGCATAGCTGCTTCTCTGCAGAGTGCTGTAAGGTCAGCTCCAACATACCCAGTTGTCATTTCTGCCAGTTTAACCAAATCAACATCTGTAGAAATCGGCATACTAGATGTAAGCAACTGCAGGATCGATCTTCTTTGCTTAAGTGTTGGTGTCCCAATAATCACCTAAACCAAATATAGTAACAATTTTAAGGAGATAGTTTGCTACTTTTATAGACCTAAGCAAGGAAGTTTGTCTCTGCTTTATACTGCTTACTAAAGATTGATACATACTTAAAGATTGATACATACTCATACTGAAACTAAAGAATTATACAAGAAACTTTTTGGCAGCACTATACAAATTACAAATATTTTAAATACCCTTCATTTACACTTACTTTCCAAGTGCACAGAGTTTATATTAGCAGTTGTTCATAAGACAGTCAGCTAGCGCCCATCAAATCCTATTTTAAGGTAATATCAACATAAGACTTAACATTGAAATAATAATTTCCTTGCATCACAAGGGCTGAATAAGATTAATCTGAGAGAAAAAATTAATTAGATCAACATTCATACAGTATTAAAAAGCTGGTAAAATACCACCATAAAATAAATGAATAAATCCTGGAAAAATAATGAAAATTATACTCGCAAAAGCATTAAAGAACTTGACCAAACTGGATGACCCAGGAGTGCATTTAGCCAGCAAAATAAACAATACAAGCAAAAGCATTGCATAACTACGTGCGTTCTTTCTTCTTTTGATCATTAGGTGAGCAGTTCTCCAGAGCAGACCTAGCCCCTGGTACTGAAACGTGAATAGAATTTTTGACACAACAGGTTACTAGTTCTGTCAGAATAAGAGATATGCACAAATCTTCAATCCGGGACCTAAATGAGAAAAATCTAAGTTTGCAATGCTAAGCATCTGTAAGCAAAAGAAAAGCCTAAGGAACACATCCATGTTTTTATAAAAGCAGCATAATGACTCCCCTTTTCCATTTTCAACTACATAGAGCTCTCCATTTCCTGAGTAAAATGTGTCCCCTGCCTTACCCAAGCTGTAGTGATCTAAAGGAAGAAATAGGACACGTATCTCTAGCCTGTAGAATCCCACTATGAAACGTGATTAGGAGACTTTCTTAAAACATTTTTTTTTTCAAAATCACTTTATTAATTGCCCCCTGCTCCACCTCAAAAAGGAAAGAAAAAACAGAGTGTATGAATAACAGGTTTTGCTTACCTCTCTGTCAAATCTGCCAGGCCTTCTCAGGGCAGGGTCTAAGGCATGCGGCCTGTTTGTTGCTGCCATAATGACCATCTTACCCTCGCTACCTACACCATCCAGCAGCGTCAGCAACTGAGCAACTATACGACCTTCAGGAGCATTGTTTGAACTTCCTCGTTTTGGGCATAAAGAGTCAACTTCATCAATAAAGAGAATGGTTGGGCCTTCAGATGACATTTCTCTGGCCTTTTCAAAGGCTCTTCGTAAATTCTCTTCACTTTCTCCTGGTCTTGAACCATAGAGGGCTGGGCCACTGATGCAAAGCAGATACGCACCCACTTCTTTGGCTACTGCCTTTACCATAAGAGTTTTTCCTACACCTGGGGGGCCTATTAATAGCACCCCATTAGGGACAGAAAGCCCCAGCTTCTTGAAAGTTTTTGGGAAGCGGAAAGGCAGATCAATCATTTCTTTCAAAGACTTTCCCACATCATCCAGTCCTGCAATTGAAGTTTTTGCAGCACATTCTGATAAATGCCTGTACCATTCAACAGTGACCACCTCCTTAATTTTTACACTCGTTTGGGGGGTTATCAGTCCAGCTTCATCCATTAAAGGGTCTACAGACAGTATTTCAACATGCACCACAGGATTTTCAAGATTTGGGGCAACAGTTACAACATAATGAAGTGAAACATAAATATTCCTTAGCAGTTCTCTGATCACCTCCTGCAGGACTGCTCTGGGAGTCGACTTTTTCCATGCGGAGCTCTTAAGGACCACTCTCACGGTCACCTTTGTTAACTG